GATATAATTTTATGTAAAAATTTTTTATTATAATAAAAAAATAAATAAAATAAATAAATATAATTATTTTTAAAAAAAATTTTATTATAATAAAATTCAAATTCTAAATTTCAATTAATAAAATAAAAGACTTTAATCTTACCTCGTAGAATCACATTTTACCTCGGACATAGTAAACAAGATACTTAACACTAATAAAAGTCATCCCAAGGTCGTTAAAGCTTTCTCTATTCGAGCAAGGACGGAGCCACCCTTTGATGAAGGTTGTTGTGTCCTCATATGATGAAGGTTGTTGTGCATAATTATCCCTCATGAAAATTTTGAAATTATATGTTTGTCCGGCCTAATAATATGTGAAATTTCTCAACAATTTGATGAAAATCTCCCGTTCATTTCACCGATTTATGTTTAAAATTTGAGTTTTATTACAGTAAAAAGCTCTCAGAAATAATCACATCTAACTTTTTTGTTATAGTAAAAAATTCTCACATAAAATCACATCTCAATTCGAATCTGCGAAGTGAACGAGACGCCCCACTCCCGACTTAAATCTCAGGCTCCACCTCGACACCAGTATACCACCTTTCTTGAGTTTTACTCATGTATACTTCTTTTTCTTTTTCTTTTTCTTTTTCTTTTCTTTTTTTTTCCTTCTACAAGTTGATTCTAGTCGAGATTGACATTATCAGTTGACGATTATCAGAAAGAGCTTTAAGGTATTTGATCTGGGTAAGAATTAGAAAGGATTTTGTAATTACTTTCTGGCCAGGAATTGCCTTTTTCCAAAGTTACCTACAAAAACAGAAGACTGCGAAGGGAAAACGAATGGACAAACAGATAAATTTTACCTTTAAAAATCCCAATGCGCTTCTCTAACACTGCTCTTAATCTCGTACTAACAAGAAACCAACTTCTTTTAAGCATCTCTTATGTTATTATTGTTAACAAATACATTCGATAACTTTGTCGGTGTATATTTAGCATAAAAAACAAGGTCAAAAGAAAGGCTTACCTGTAAAGATGCTAATCATCTTTATGGCAAGCTCTTTACACTCAACTTCGAACTTTACAAATTGAGAGCAATTTCAAAACCAAAATCATTTCCCAAACAAAATCACATAAGATAATCATAGTTCTGTCAGATTCTGAGCCAATATGTGGACAAGTTCAAAGTGTGGCTCAAGCATTTTCAACCAAAAAAAAAAATTGTAGCACAAGCACAAGTAAACAAACACCTGCAACTATGGCACTTATTTCAGGTCTTTGTCAAAATTGGCCTCTGCAAAAGCAACTTCAAAGAAAAAATGGGCAACAAAACATCTAGTGGAACATTTTGGAACCTGAATGGTGAATTCTACCAAAAAGGAAAGCAAAAAAAAGTTCCAGTACAAACTACAAAGCTTCCGTGAAGATATACATCTATATAGATTGGAAACTTTCACTTACAATCACAGAAACAAAGGCTTGCAAGTCAGGTACAGACATGCACAAGAATGCCCAGAGATTTTCATGAGTTTGTAATTGATGACATATATATACAAGGAACACCCACCAGCAAGATTACACTAAAAGAATAGTAAAAAGAGCTACTTCTCGCCTGATAGAAGCTGATGAATAAAGTCTGAAAATTTGTTGAATTCGTTTCAGCTCCTCCTCAAAATTCACATATGCCCGCCAAAACTAGGTCTTCATTCACTAATAAATAGAGACTAGAGACAATCAATTAAGTACTACGTAGAAATATTACTATTTTACAGTGCTTTTTTGCAGCTTTGCAATGCCGGGAAGCCTTAAAATGTCCCAGAAACTCTGATCCTACACAAATTTTTAGCAGTTTCCGCCTTTTCGCCTATCGGGCATCGCCGACTTTGGCTGATAAGGCTAACCTGAGCTGGTCCTGAGTGTAGAATCGACTGCCCATCTTCACCGTCGCTTGTTGGATCATCAAATCATTGACTACAGACACACTTGCATGATTGACATCCAAGTCAAGCTCTTTCAAAGCCGACATAAATCTCGCGGCGGGGTGGTTCTTCTTGCTACATTGCATCCTAATCATGGCGTCCCAGCCTATTATCTTCACGTCTATGTCCAAATCTATGAGCTTGCTGCTTCCATGGTGGTTTGACATTGAGAGGTCTGGGTCCGTCGGAGGCCGCGAAGAATCCTTGCCGGCCAACTCCTTCACCGAATCAATCTGCTTCTGGAGATCCTCCTTGTCCGATTCCGCACCCTGGAGCTTCGACTTGAGCTCGTTAATGTACGAAATGGCGTCGCCGAGGAGCGAGGCCTTGTCCATCTTCGAAACGTTAGGGACGACGGCTCGGAGGGCGTAGAACCTCTGGTTGAGCTTCTCCCTCCGCTGCCTCTCGGCCTCGACGTGGTTGAGCGGCTCCTCTCGGCCATTGGCCGGCTTTCGTCCTCTCTTCCTGGGCCGCTTCTCCGGCTCGACGACTCTACTGCTGTCGGCCTCGCGGACGACGGAGGCCTCGAGGTCGGAGTTGTCCGAATCGGCCGTCCCGTTGTTGCTCGATTTCATGACGCCGCTCGACGGGAGGATCACGCCGGAGGTGAAGGATAGCATCCCTTCCTCGTGGCTCCCACGCGACGTCGGCGACCTCTTCTTCTTGTTCGTCTCCTCCACCACCGCGAATGGCGTCTGGTTCGCGAACAACCCCCCGTTGTTGCTGCTCCTCTTGCTCTCTCCGAAATTCAGAATCTCGCCGGACTCCGGCTTCAAATTCCCGCCGCTTTTCACGCTGTTTCCATCAAATCCGTACTCAGAAAAATTCAATTCTCTGGTAAAGAAGCTCTGCGTCTGATTATTATTGTTGGTGCTGTTTCCATTAGGTTTCTGAATCGAACCCGCGGCGGCGGCGACGGCGGCGGTTGCGCTGGGATTCTCCGTCAAGCTGCTCGAGCTCGGATTGTTCTCGAACTGAACCACTGTCGACTTCGAGCTGATCTGCTGGTTCGTGTTGGAGCTCGGATTCGCCGAATCCTTCAACTCGACGGCGCTCGACGGCTCGCTGATCCAAAACGAAGACGGATCGTTCTCTCCCTGATCCAACGGCCAGGAGCCGGCCTCCATGTTGCTGAAATTGAACAAAACCCTAACTTTGTTCATCAGATCGGAGCTCTCGAAGATCACCTCCGTGGATCCCAATTCGACCACGCCGTTCTCCGACGGAATACAGACGATCGTCTGCAACCCAAAGATCTGACCTTGGCGAGCCCTCTCGCAAGTCGAGGAGCCCAAGCTATCAGCTCCGGCGACCCAAACGGGGCTGGAATTGAAGAACGCCTGTCCCGGCAATCCTCCGCCGTTGACGAAGGACTGAGTCATGGAGACAAGGAAGAACCACTCGGTGTCGGTGACCTCCTCGTCGACGGCGTCGACGGAGTCGTCGGCGGAGGGAGCGGAGCCGGAGATCAGGGAATTAAGCTCGCGGAGGACCTTCTTCCTGTGCTCCTGCTCGGCGGCGGAGGATGTCGTCTTGGATTTACCTCTGCCTTTCTCCTCGTCGCCCTTGTAGTACCCGTCGCCCCAGCCGAGAACGGAGGCACCAGAGTAGTCGTAGGATGACTGCCAGAAGATGGCGTAGGTCCAGCTCTCGCGGGCGCCCTCAATCAGCGCCTGTAGACGCTGCTGGAGAGTTTCCTGGTTGAAGGGCGGCGCAGGCGCAGGCGCAGAGGACGCCGGAGCTGCTGACGTGGAGGCGGAAGATTGCTGGGGCTGCGGCGGATGGGTAGAACCTGGCTGGTGGTGGTGGTGATGGTGGGAGGAGGGAGGAGCTGCCCAGAAGGCGGAGAGGTCGGAGGAGCTCATGAAGGCCTCCATCATGGAGGCGTTGTCGTCCGTCCAGAGATTCATCGTCGGCGGTATTCGATAGTCCGTCATGGAAAAAACGGGAGGGAAATAAGTGGCGGCGGAGACGGCGACGGTGGAACAAGTAGAAGAAGAAGAAGATTGAAAATGGGATTTCGGAAAGGAAAGAAAGGGGGTGGGTTGGTTTATTTGGGGAACATTTTTTTCTTTTTTTTTTTGGGGGTTGGGCAGTTAGGGATTGGGATTGTGGTGTGGGAGTGAAGAGTGAGAAGGATTGTATATGAGAGAGTAAAAAAATAAAAAATAAAAAACGAGTGAGATTGGATTTGTGTGTGTGTATTTGTGTGCGCGTGTCAGTGGGACAGAAGGAGTGGGCGGTTTCTACGAAGGGGAGGGAGCTGGCGACTCGGCAACGATTTAATCGGGAGCGGCTAAGCTGCTATTTATTTTCTTTTCTTTTTTTTTTTGCTATCAATTAATTTAGAGTTTCTCTAATAGATCATGCAAAAAAAAAAGAAAAAAAAAATTTTAATCTTATTTTCAACTGTCAGCTTTAAATAAAAAATAATCCGTTCGGTTTTTTTTAAACGGGTTAAACAATAAAAAAAACTAATCTTATTAATAAAGAAATCTTAGTAGAGAAATTCGTTTTTTTTTTAAATTTAGGTGGAACATTTTTTTTTATTTTGCAAGTATGAATAGTTATTTTTAATCTTTAAATAAAATTTTTAATTATTAAATTTATATTAAAAATTTATATTAAAAATTTATAACATACCATATAAAAAAATTTTATTGTATATCTAATCGTTAAAAGATTAATGTAAGAAGAAAAATACAATTCTCACATGAGGAACCCACCTTTTTTTACCTCAACAGTGAAATCCCTTTACTTATTTCTACTACTGCTTCAGTTAAGGAAACGCCGCCGTATCTTCGTGTCACCAATCTGATTAAAGTGAAAAGTCTGACGATAGACTCGTTTTTTCTTTCTTTTTTAATTTTAAATTTTTTGGTTTCGGCGATGGACTCGTTTTGAACGTTTAAAATGTTACCTACTTGTTAGAATATCACACTAAACAGGTATTTAATATTTAATATTTTTTATCCGTGTAAAACAGCATGAATATTGTGTGTGCACTGCTTTTGTGAATAGAGGAAAAAAGGCATTGCCAGCCCTTAACATTTGTGTTGTGTTTTTAAGTTCATAATCTAACGTAGCATTTATATTTGATTCTATGTAAAGTGTAGAGTTTAAGCTTCATCTTTTTAATTTTTTCTTGAAAAAGTGCATTTGTTGAATACATTTATACATAGAGTTAATTGAATGTAATTTTGAATATATCAGAAATCTGATATATTCATGTTATTCTATGGCAGCAAATGTAAAAGCGACATTTTGTATCTAATAGGTTGAAACATGCAAGAAAAGGGAAAGGATTTCTTGTGTGTATATTTATTGTTTTATTTATAATTTGTGTCTTGTAAAGTTAACTCTACTTGCTTTTTTTAATCTTTTTTTTTTTTTTTCTGAATGCATTCATTTGCAACAGATTTTTTTTTTTTTTTTACACAATCATATTAGATTCACCTTCCTAATCCATTTCTCAACAAATTTCAATCAGATTATAATATGGTGGAATTCTTCATTAAACGTTACCCCACTATTTTCTTGACGTAATTCATGAAGTATATTCTTAGATTTGAATCTAAGCAAAAGTATACTGTCAGATTGTATTTAATAGGCTAATAAATGTCTTTATCTCCATCAACACACGATTTTGATAAAATAAATTATCAAAATATGGTTAAAAATTAAGAATGAGAAAAGAAAAATACTGATTGAAAAATTTAAAGGAGCACTCTTTTTTTTTCAACGCCTATTTAATGCAATTTGATATTATACTTTTACAACAATTGGAAACTCAAAGTATACTTTCTAATAACCCTAAATTGCATGATAAAAAAGTAAAGTTACCTTTTAATTTTTCTCGTATCAAACCATACTAAAACCATTATCTTCTTTGATATATTGAAAAAATAAATAAACAAACTTCTGAGCGCCTCACAAACATGGCACACTTTGGTTGTTTCTTTCGAATAAACTTTAACTTTGATTCTTAGTCTTAAATATAACTGTCCAATCTCGAGAAATTATAAATACTCCAATCCCTCAGGAGCGTTAGTAAAACATCCTTAACCCTTTTGTCAATAATGTAACACCGAATTCACGGGACTCTTTAAAAGCTTAATTACGTGGCTTCATTTACTGAAATAAAGAACAAAAAAGAAGAGAAATAAATTTCAAGTCAATAAATTGTGTCGGGAAATTAATAAAATTTTGTTGACATATTCCGTATATATGCATATATTCTTTTTTATTTATTCTTTTTTTTAACAAATATCAGGTGAAAAACTGTTGGGAATAGTGTCCTAGAAGCATGAGATGTAAAAGGATATTTATTATTTATTTAATAAAATAGTTTATTCATCATTTTATGTGCATATATTTATGAATATTTTATGAATATCAAATAAAATTCATTGATTATTTATGTAACCTTAAACATAGTATATAAGTGTTGTATACGAGAGGATAATGTTTAAGAATAATAATCAAAAGTAATTGTTCATAATGAATTTAATTAAAGTTCGGAATCTTTAATTAAAACATTATTAATACATGTCATTCCCATTTAGAATGGAACGGTGTTATCCGCACTGTTAATATGGCGAGATATTGAATGAGTGTATTTCGCATAATGAGATTATGTGGAACATGGACGCAGATACAATATGAATTTCTAATAATTTCCGTTAAGCATAGAAATTCTAATTGAGTCTACCGATGGTCATATATAGGATGATCTTAATCCTGAGTTCTTAACAAACTCCTATTTATAGATTTATGTCTTTTGATTTACTCGGTACGGATTCCGAGACCCTGAATCCTATTCCTTGTATTTTGGAGACATAATGAAATAGGTAGCTGGGAAAGTTATTATACGAGATGGAATCCATTCCTTCTTGAGAAAGAAGCAGATAAATAATTCTCTTGAGTGTTGATTCGGTACTTGGATTAGTAAGAGCGCTCT